CGTCTTTTTAATGCCGTCTTTACCTGCTACGCGATGCATGAAATCTACTTTCGGTTTTAGAGCTGCCAGCAACCTTTGACCCCTTTAGTGGAGACACAATGTGACCTTTCTATTGTCATCGGCTTTCATTCTCCTGAAAATTCTATGAATTTTTATTACAAGTTTTTTTTTAAACCAAGCTGAGGCTTCAACAAATTGCTTGACGCAGATGAGATGAAGTTGTTGAAGTGGGCGTTAGGTAAGTTTTACAGCCGGCGTGTCGCCGAGGAGGCCAGCCCGTGTCCTGCAGTGTCACCTGCCAGTGACTGCTGAGCCTGCTATTGGATAAATACATCATTTTATGGAACATTGATTGTTCTATAAACCCAATGGAGTATTATGGTCTATGATCAAACCATTTAGATTGTGTGTAGAGCACAGAAAATGCCGTATTCAGGATGGTACTAAAAGTGCCATTTGTGTATTTTATAGGTGTCATTACAGGGAAACTTCTCTCTGTAGGCCCTGTTTACTGCAAAATTTTTTAGTCTGTAATGACATTTTTCATTCACAACGTATGCCTTCAAGAGAGGGGGCCCTTGTTTTATTTGTTTCATTCGAGTTTACTGCACAAATTCTGTACATTTTAATTAAATGTAAGCTTAACAAAGGCGCCAGGTATTTATTCTGTGGGAGACTGACGGCAGGGAGGGAGACTGGCACACCCCCCACCCTCTGCAGCAAGCAGGCAGGTGCCGGCCGGCCCGCCATCTCCCAGGAGCTCCGCGGCCGGGCAGCGAGCAGGCCCCGGGGTCCTTCGCGCCGGTCACCCGGAGACAGCTCGGCAGGGAGGACACAGGGAAGGACCCGGGCCTCACAGTGAGCTTTGGAGGAGGGGCCTCATTAGAAATCACTTCCCGCGAAGCGGAATCTCAGCCCCCGCGGTGCCTGGCCCGTTTCCATGGGGCTGCGCAGGCTGGGCGCACCGGGCAGGAGGAGGGGGTGTCGGGGGCGGGCGCGGCAGAGCGCAGGGTGGCGTCCACGGACGGGCCCGGGGCTGCGCTTCAGCTGCACTTGCACCCCCTGCGCAATGCTGCTCCCTGTCCTCTGGGCGATGGGCCCAGAAGGGCTGCCTGGGACGCGGCCGCCCGGACCCAGCGCCGCCTGGGAATGGCGCGGAGTGGGACCCCAGCACCACGGGCGCACGCTCCGCGAGGGGTGCGCAGCTGCGCCCCGTCACAGGGCTGGGCGCTCGGGGCCGCCTCCGCGCCCCTGTGGCGTTGGCTGGTGAGCTTCCTGGTCGGCATTTACCAGAAAGATCTCGGGAATGGAAGCTGACGTGCCCAGCCAATTGTCGGGCGTCGTCCGGTTAGAATTTGAAGTTACAGCAGAGACTTGCATTAGTGTAAATGACACTTGAACTTCTACGCAGCCCAACATTAATTCATTACGGTCAAAATGGAAGACTCTTCAGTGGGTGAACCTTTTTCAATCTGATTGAGGCCGTTACATTTTATAGGTGCTATTTTTCAAAGCAGTGCTGACAGCACACGCGAAGTTATTAAATTGCAGAATCAAAGACGGACCCGCGCCCGCGTTTATGAACTGCGCCGGGGCGGCGAGCCCACGCTGGGAGCAGGGGATGTTGGCGCTGTGACGCTCCGTCACTCCGCGGTCACAGCCGTGTCTGCCCGTGCCGTTCACGTCGGCGGTCTGGAAGCAGCGCCGCCACCTCTGGCTGCGGATGAATTCAGAGGGAGCCCGGAGCCGTCATCAGGAGGGCAGGGGACCACTGGGCGGCAGGCGGCCCTCTGTCCGGTGCGGACGGCGGGGCATTGCCGGGACTCGGCATGCAACACCTCTCCCGAGACGCCCTGGGAACGGGACGCTCTTCCCTCCCCACAGCACCACCCCTCCTGTGTTTGAGGGGAAGGCGGCGCGTGTCCTCCTGTGGTTACCTGGGATGGGGTGACGTGAAGGCCATCTTCTTTTCTCCTGTGTCCCTATTTTGTTTTATACTCTGAGTTAGATCGAAAGTGACCTCGAGATTAAATGAAGTCTAGGGCTACAGAGGACAGAAGAGGCAGGAACAGCATGGTCAGGCCAGGTGTCGGGAGGCACGGGGCAGGGTCCCTGGGCTGAGTGGGGTCACCAGCACCCCGCCCACGCCACCCGCGCAGGCCCCTGGCCTCTAAGGAGAAGCAGGGAGGGTCAAAGCTGGGAAGACAGCGGGAGGTCAGGGTCAAGCGCCCGCCCAATGAGCCAGCCCCTGATTTTTGTGGGATCTTCTCTTGATTCTGCTGACCACACGCTGCGTGTTTTTGTGGTGGGCGGGGGAGGCGGTCTCCGCAGCAGGCAGCTCCCAGGCAGGTGCGCGTGCGGCACTGACCAGCCCACGGAGCCCTGGGGCGCCTGCCACCGAGTGCTGCCGTGGGTGTGAGCTCACGAAAGCGAGCTGGTGGCTGGCCTGGCCGCCCTGTTGGCCTCTGCTTTGCCAGGAGAGTGAAGGAGAGGAAACAGAGCCACGGCCCACCGGTAGCTCAGTGAGCCGCTCGTTTTTATTTTAGTTGTTCGGTTGCAGCTGACATTCAGTGTCGTTGTGTGTCAGTTTCAGGTGTGCGGTGTGGCGGTCAGCCAGTTACACACCCACTGGGCGCCAGGCGTTGCTGCGACACTACGATCAACTTCAGGTCCCTGCGGCTGCCCTGTGGCCACCAGTCTGTCCTCCTCAGCCCCCTCCCCTTCCCCAGCTGCCCCTCTGGCAGCCCTCAGTCCGTTCGGTATCTGTCGGTCTCTTTCTGTTCTGTTTATTTTGTTCGTTATATTCCACGTGTAAGTGAAGTCATGCGGCGCTTGTCCTTCTGTCCGGCTTATTTCACGCAGCATTATGTCCTCCAGGGCCATCCCTGCTGTCGCAAAGGATGAGGTCCCGTTATTTTTATGACTGAGCAGGACTCCATTGCACAAATGTCCCACAGCCCTTCACCCACTTGTTTGCTGATGGGCCCTTGGCTGTTTCCATACACTAGCTATTGAAGGTAATGCTGCAGCGAATGTAGGGGTGCATGGATTACTTAAAGTGAGTGTTGGGGGGGCCTTACGATATAGTCCCAGTAGTGGGATCGCTGGGTCCTGAGTTCCAGTTTTAATTTTTTGAGGCCCCTCCATACTGCTGCCCACAGTGGCTGCCCCAGCCTGCATTCCCACCAGCAGCCCGCCAGGGCAGGGCTCCCCAGGGGAGCCACTGAGCTAGACTCCTGGACATTCCGTCACCTGTGAGGCGTGGCGGTGTGCCTCCGCCTGGCCAGCGGGCCTCAGCAGTCCCGGTCCGCCCGCCGCCGCCTGCCCAGCCCCGTGCAGCCCTGCTCGTTGCGGCTACAGTGGCCGCCGAGCGTGCAGGGCCGTCTGCTGCAGGAGGTGGGCCTCGCGTGCCACAAGGGTCTTCTCATGACCCAGGGGTCTGTGACTTCACGATCCTTCAGTGCCAATCTCTGTTTTAAAAATGGGTCACTTACACAGTTCACTTCCTCACTGGGCTGGAGAACACAGATTATGGAAAACTGACGCCGAGCACTCACCGTGAGCCCCGCCGCCGCCACCGGCCCCCAGGACAAGCCAGAGTGGCCCTGGGCACCCTCCACGGCCACAGCTGCCCCGTGGGTGCCCCCCGCGGCCCACACAGGAGGACACGGGGAACACCACGCCAGCCCGGGCTGTGAGCACAGCAGGACGTGGACGTTCCGGTGTCCGAGCGGCGCACGTGTGTTGGGCCTGGAGTGGGCATGTCTGACTCCTGGCGTTTGGCTCCACGTCTGGAACCGCTGGCTCGGAGCCTGGGCCGGTCCTCACAGCCAGTGCCACTCGGCAGCCTCTGTGGATCCCACTGCAAAGCTGAACCCCCAGAGGGTGGGCTGTGCCGGGAGCCTTTCTAATAGGGCGGCCCCAACGCGGGCTACCCAACCACTCTTATTTAAAGAGTGCCAGCAATAAGTAATCTAGCAATTCTAAACTCTTCCCTGGGTACGAAAGTGTGCTCTTTAAAAACAACCTCCACTAAAGAGTAAAGTAGGATATTTTAACTACGCAGTTGCCATTGACATATGGAAATGGTGGAAATCGTTCATTGATCATTCTCATGTGGGAACGAAGGAAAGGATGCTAAGAAAACTGATAGAAAAGAAGAAATAGGAACTCTACAGGAAGAGCCAGTCCCTTTTTATGAAAATAAAGATGATAATTTTCATTCGTGTTTCAGCCTGCCCAGTTACTGCACACCAGCCCGCGTCTCAGGGGACGCTGGACAGGTGGCGCGTGCTCACCGGGCCCCTCCACGGCCGGGCCACGCATCCCGCGCGGTGCACGCCGTCAGCCTCTCTCTGCGTAGCTGTCCCTGCTCGGCCCCAGGAGCAGCCTGTCCGCTGCCCGGAGGCCCGCCCCCGTCTCCGCCCCAGGAGCAGGAGCCCGCACAGGGCAGGCGGGCGTTGGCCCGGAGTTTGCCGCTGCTGGTCGCCTTGATCTCCCGCCACTGTGTTTACTGGCGGCCTGTCTTTAACATTTGATGAGCGAGGCTTTTCATTCTTTTGGCTCAACACACAAATCTCCTTATCTTGATACTTGGACATCAAAAAAAAAAAAAGGGGGCTTTCCTTTGGGCCGGGAGACACCGCGCCTGCCGGCCCTGATCTCCCTCCTCCCCAGGCAGCGCGTGCCTGTCAGATGGGACAGCCAGCGGGGGCGGGGGCTGGCTCCGCCCCAGGACGGAGGCCCTGTGAGCGGCCTTGGCACTGGCAGAGCAGGGGTGCACACAGCCAGGCCAGCACCGCTTCAGTCGCTCTTGGCACTGAGCGCCTGTTGGGGTCTTGTGGGCGGCCACCCCCAAGAGCTCCTGGCGGGAGCCTGCCCTGAGCAGGGCACAGCCCTGTTGCTGTGGAGGTTTGAAAGCGCCTGCGGAAGAATTGTTTATCTGTCTTTTAATCCTGACACCCATTTTGCTGGCTCTAACCGGTCCCTGTCTCCCATAGGCATTGTTTCCAAGTCCTACGAGTGCCGCCTGAAGGGCCAAGGAGCCACATTCGTGGAGACTGACAGCCCGTTCACCGCGGCCGCGCTGGCGGAGGAGGCCCCCGTGGCAGACAGGCCCCTGAGGGGCGGCCGGAGGCCGGCGGCGCCTGAGCAGGTCCAGCAGGTCATCATCATCCAGGGCTACGACGGGGAGCTCGCCCTCGACGCCTCCGTGGAGGAGACGGCCGCAGCCACGCTGCAGACACTGGCGCTGGCTGGCCAGGTGGCCCGCGTGGTGCACATCACCGAGGACGGGCAGGTCATCGCTGCGAGTCCAGGCGGGGCGCACATGGGCGGCGGGGCAGCCGAGCCGGTCCTGCCGGAGCAGATGGCGGAGGAGGCCACGCAGGTGGTGGTGGTGGGGGGCTCGATGGGGGGCCCCCTGGCCGAGCCCCTCAGCCCCGGCAGCGCCGTGCTGCAGCAGGTGAGCAAGCAGGAGCTCCTGGACCTCAGCGAGGCCGCTGTTGCCCAGCCCGACGCCGCCTCCGCCTTGGACGCCCTGCTGTGTGCTGTCTCCGAGCTGGGAGGGGCCGAGGGCCGGGCCGGGCCTGCTGACAAGGTCAGAGCCGGCCACAAGGAGGTGCTGGTCCAGCTGCCCAACCAGGAGGCGCAACCCGCGGCCCAGCCTGAGGCGGCTGAGATCCACCTGCTCCAGGATGCGGAGGACGGCCCAGCCGCTGCGCAGCCCCTGGAGGTGCTGGCCCAGGTGGTGCGGCCCTCGGCCCTGGGCGCCTCGCGGGAGCCGGCCCAGGTGGCCCTCAAGAAGGTGGTGCAGGGCGTCCTCCAGTTTGCGGTGTGCGATGCGGCCACGGCCAGCCCTCTGGGGAAGGACGGCGTCGCACAGGTCATCGTGAACGAGGAGGGCGCTGTGCACATGCTGGCGCGGGATGGCGCCCTCCTTGTGCAGGAGGCCGCAGCCGCTGGGCCGCACGGGGAGGTCTCGCAGATCATCGTCACCGAGGAGCTGGTCCAGGCCGTGGTGCGGGAGTCCGCCGGCGGCTTCCCTGAGGGCGCCACCCACTACATTGTGACGGAGCTGCCGCCAGGTGCGCAGGAGGAGGCGGCCGTGTACTCCCACACGGTGCTCGGGGCGGCGGCCAGCGCGCAGGAGCTCCTGCAGGCCGGGGCCGGGCTGGGCCCCGAGGCCGGGCTGCCTGGGGGCGCCGAGCAGCTGACCAGCATGGTCATCTACACCCAGGAGGGCGCCCCGGCGGCCACCGTCATCCACAGCCAACGAGAGAGTCACGAACTCCAGGAGGCCTGAGGCGCGGGGCGGACACGGGGCCCCGGCGCCTGGGCATGGGGTCCTGAACTGCGGCGGCGGCGGCACGGCTCATGGGCCCCAGGCACGCTCTGCTCTGGCGACGCTCACCCCGGCTGCGTGACAGCGTGCGGCCCCTGGGCGCCCAGCGGACGGACAGGCGTCACAGCCGCAGGCCCGGCAGCCCGGCTCGGCGACGGGGCTCCTTCGTGCGAGGTGGCCTTCCGCTCTGTTCTGTCCCGGGTGCCGGGGGACGTCTGAGTCTTCTGTTCCGCTCCCCCACCCACCTCACACACAGGTTTCCCATTTCAGTTCCCAAAGGACCGTGCTTGGTGGTGGAAACGTGTGCACGTGTGTCTTGTGGCCTGAGGCGTGTCTGCCTTGGCTGACCAGCGTGTCGCGTTTACAGTTTTTTATAGGTTTGGTTGAAAACTACAGCTGCAAGCGTTACCGTCCTGGTGGCAGCCTTGCCCTGTTCTCGGCGTGAAGCGCTCGCTGCGTGGCGTCCCCAGACCAAAGGGGCCGTCCGTCCGTCCGTCCCATGTGCCGCTGGCCCCCGCAGGCCCTACAGGTGGAGTGCTGGCTCTGGTTGTGTCCTGCTTAAAGAAACTCCTAAAGCCCATGGTTGAGGGAAGCCTTGGAGTTCATATTTAATTAAAACGTACCCTGGTTAAGACAACCCAGTGCTTCTACTTCTGACTTCGTTTCATACAATAAAGCCTATACGTGAAACAGGCACTCTGGAAAATACTGTTCATACCCAATATTTTGCTTTTTCAACATGTTTGTTCGTATCGGAGTCATTCTGCAGGATTTGTGTGTCATTTCCGTCAGTGCGAATGGCTGACGTGGACCAGTGATGCGGGAGGCCGCCCCGCAGCCCCACGCTGGCCAGCATCATGTGGGTTTAGTTGTGGGTCCATTGCAACTGTGGAATGCAAGTTTATGTTCCAACACTTTGTTCCTCGATGCAATTGCTCTTCTTTCTTTTCTGAAATTGTAAGATAACCCCCTCTTCCCATGCACAGGTTGTTTTGTTCTGTTTCTTTTTTCTTTGAAATAAAATTTTAGCCTTAAAAGAGAACGATAGCGTTGTGTTTCCAGCCGTCGGCCAAGGCGCAGCAGAGGAAACTGACAAGGACTCGCTCTGTCTGATGCGTGATTTGTCCCCTGCCGGCCCCTGGGCAGGTGTGCTGGCCCCTCACCGATGCCTCGTGCGCCCTGTGCGGCGTCCTGCGCGGGGGCACAAGGTCTGGGCGGGATCTGGTGACAGCAACGCACTGGGTCACGGGGGTCTGTGGGGACTCGGGAACGGGAACGGAGGACAAGGAGGAGGCAGTGCCTTTGTCTCGTGAGCGGCAGCAGCACCAGGCTCCCCTTCCTGACTGGACAGGGTGGAAACGCACTCCAGGGAGAGGTTTCCTGACCCCAGACCCCATCTTCAGGGCTCGGGGCCCTGCCCCTGCAGGGCCGCCTCTCCTCACAGAGCCACCCGTTCCCCAAAACCAAGAGGTAAATTCTCAGGTTTGACAGAGACTCATCATTAGCTGAGTGTGACTGGCCTACGTTTCTTAAAAACGGCAGGGTGAGCCGGCCCCTTCCGCTGCCCAGAAGATGCTGCTGGCCAATGCCCATCTATTACCCAGGCAAGGGGACCCATGCAAAGCCACCCGTCCAGGCTTCTCACACATTTTCAAAGCGGGGGGTGGGGGTGTTTTCCAGTGGAAGTGCATCTGCTCGCTCGCCCGTCAGCAGCAGCCCGCGGCCGGCTGGATGCTCACCCCCACCCCTCCCGTGCCCAGGCCTGTGCCCACCGCCAGTGTTTCTGCCGCCGTCCAGGCCGTCGACGCTGACACGCTGCCGTTTGCCCGCGGTGATTCACTCGGGGTAAATACGTCTCGGGTGGCATTCACTCTCATCAAACCAGTGTAGCCCGGAGTGTCAAACCAGCCGCCCTGTCGTCCGCACGAGGGAAAGAGCAGGCCTTCCCATGGAACAGTCGTGCCGGGGACGCTCCGAGGCTCGCAGGGACTACGAGGGGCCCCGCGGGCTCTTGGGCCCCGCCGTCGCCGCTGGAGCGGGGCTGCCGGCGCCTGTCCACCCTCTCACTACCGGCTGTCAGGACTGAGGGGCGTCCCGGGGCCCCAACGCGAGCATGTGCCTCCGAGCAGCAAGACGTGGCCGGCTGTGCGCTGAGTACGCTGGCTGCCCGTTTTCTCCCTCGACAAGGCGTGCGGGCTCACGGTCCCAGAAGTGTGTGCTGGGGAATCCGAGGGGACCTTAGGGAGCGAGAAACAGAGCCAGCGAGCTGTCTGCCTGCAGGCTGCAATCCGGACCGGCCCCTGGGTGTTTGCGACACCTGATCAAATGTGGCGGGCCCGCAATACCGGCCGCCCTGCCCGGTCGACCCTGCGGCGTGGCCAGCACTCGCCTTCCCCGGCCGGCGGAGGCCGAGGCTCCCGCGTGCGGTGGCGAGCGACGGGCACAGCGGTTTCCACGGGCGGACGTTCCAACAGCCGCACAGTCACTTTGATGAGGTGTGGGGACTCGGGTCCCTTCAGGCTGCTGCAGGCCTTGCTGACCGGGTTGGAGCAGAGGGAGGAGACGCCCTAACATCCCCCCCGCCGCCCCCCAACAGGAAAACACACAGGCAGGCAGGCCAGCGCCCTGACAGACGCAGAGAACATCCTGTGTGCCGTGGGGTTTGCTTCGAAGACCGAGTGAAAGTGCCCCAATTGTGTCAGCCGCGCTGAGAGTCCCACTGGCACCGTCAGCTCCGCGGGGAGTGGGGACCCAGAGCCCGAGGAGCGGACGGTTAAGGATCCTCGCTGGGCCTTCGCTCAGTCACCCGGCAGATGCCACGGCAGACCCCTCAAGGCCAGGCCTGGCCGTGCTCCCCAGCGGCGTCACCAGCAAGGCCCCGGCCCGGCGAGGTCAGGCCGGACCCCGCAGCTCACTGCACTGCGCGCTCTGCGCCCGGCCCCTCGGCCCGGGACCCGGCGTCTCCGACAGTCTGATCCCTGCGCAGCATCGCGCCTCGCGTCAGCGTAGCACACTGTCTTCCTGGACACACAGTCCGCGTAATGGCCTAGGCGGGAAAGCGGGAGTGCCCGCTGAGAGTTCCAACCCGGAGTCGGTTCTAGGAAGAGAATTAAGGGACAAGGAAAGCCATTTATTTAGCAAACTGAAAAAAGCTGTAAGTTCTCAGTCTGCTGTTGAATATTAGCCCATAATTTAGGAGCGCACGCAGCGCACTCCGCCGCCGCCTCCAACACCATCCGTTTCCCTCTCCTCCAGGGTGATACCATTTTGCGTGAGGGAAAAAGTTAGCTCAGATGGCAGTTACAGGTTTCGGAAGCACCTTCTAATCGGGGATTGGTGATTCATTCTCGGCTTCAGCAGGCGCTCCATCTGACAGGCAAGGGGAAAAATTAGCAGCTGTCACCGCGTGATGAGTTAATTTCCTGATAGGCCTGACACTGAAAAGCCATTTGGAGACGTGGCAGTGGCTGACAAGGAAAACTGGCACTGCTTTGTAACTGGAGATGAAGAAAGGGCAGAGGAGCGGGCGGGCAGGGGCGGGGAGGGCCGCGGTCCCCGGTGAGGGCTGAGGGTCCGGCGCGGGAGGCGGGGCGGCCTCCCCGACGGCGCGGCGCCGTGTCCAGGCCCAGTCCCTGCCCCGTGCCCATCGTGGACCCACATGCGCCTGCAGGGTCAGAGCGTGTTGGGGGCCCAGCCTTCCACGGGGAGGCGAGAGCCGTTTCCATAATCGGAGGTCAGGCTCCCGATTGCAGGATAACATGGCAGCGCCGTGAAGAAGCGACCCCGAGAAGCGAGTGTCATGCGAAGGCGGAGGTGGACGCAAAGGTGTCAGGAGGCGGCAGGCCGCCAGCCTCCCCCGAACCCCGCTCTTCCGTCCCTCCTCCTGCGGGATCCATTTCCAGCCCAACAAGTTGGACAAAAACATGTTTCTTTTTTAGCCTCTGGGAGACGGAAATTAGAAACAGAGCTTGAAGGGTGAAACCAACGTGCAGATATTCCCGGGGCCCCGGGCAGGCTCGGGGCGGGGACGGGGCTTTCGGGTCGGGCCCCCAGATGTTGGTGCCGCAGCCTCTGGTGCTCCGCCACGTGCGGACAGAGCATCGTGATCGCAAAGCTGAGCCGTGACATCCGTCACGTAGCTGTTGTCGCCGTTCGGGGTCCTGGGTCTAGAAAGAGAAGGAAGCAGAGGTCTCTTGAGGACTCTTCATCTTGAGAAGGGAGCGTGAGGTGAGGAGCCCTGTCCCGTCCCAGCTCCGGGCCTCGCAGCCCAGGGCCGAGGCCTCAGGTCCCCTCCCCCCAGTTGGGTGTCAAGGGTGTGATGCCACTGCCTTGCCCAGGGGACAGGCCTGGCCGGGGAGAGGGACAGTCACCAGCGAGCATGAGGTCGCCGTGGCCTGCCCCCAGAAGGAAATGAGCTCTATGAATCTCTCGGTCACAGCGTATTTACTGACTCCGTGGCCCTGCATTTCCAATACCTTTAACACATCCTTTCACAATGCGCCCCCCTCCCCGTTTCATCCTGGCTCCCCACGTCATGGAAAGATCGTCACTGCACAGGACATATGGAGCATGGGGACCCGCCACCTCGCCAGGGCCGCTGCCCTCAGCGGCACCCGCACGGCCCTTGCAGCACGCGGTCGGGCCCAGGGCACGCAGCCCCCGAGCGGGGCCGCCTCTGAGCGCCAGCCTCACGGAGAGTCCTCAGGGCTGCGCGCGGCGCCCGCCCCAGGGCCCGCGGGTGCGGGGGAGAGGCCCCTTGGCAGGACGAGCCCTGTCCTCATGCACGGCTGCTCCCGGCGCCCCAGTGCAGCCTCAGAGCCGTCCTGTCTAATCCGAAAGCGGGGCCACAGTCCCAAGGCCCGGCCGCACCTGGCGTGGTCCCGCCTGCCCGCGGGCCTGCTGGGCTCTAACGAGCCGGGGGGTGTTGTCCCTTCAGAGGCGCCCTGTGTGGCCCCTCGGGACCACAGTTCTACAGCCTGTGACTGGAGGCCACCTCAGGAGCCACCTTCCGGGTGACGG